CTGAGGAGGATCGAGCATATTTTCGAGCAATCCAGAGCAGAGAGAGCAGATTTGAGTTTTCATATAACGCCTTGAAATTAAGCTTTGACTTGATTTTAAGAAGAACGACTATCTTACTTCGATAAGATATCGTTTCAATTTCTCACTTCGATAAACGAAGTCAGAATCAGTAAACCCCCTTCACGATCTGTGATTCGGCGGTCCACGAACCAAAGCGTTCCCGGCACAGGCAAAGTCCCACAAAAACAAGAATCGATAGACGATTTTTGTGTTATTTTCTCAAGAGTTGTAATTTTTGCTTTGTTGTGTAGAAAATGTCTTATAAAAAGACTATTTCTTTGAATTTGTTGTAATCAAACGAAGATATAATGAATTCCTCAACAGAACCAACTTTTGGCGAAAACACCTATGTCAGGTGGTTTCTGGGGGAAAACCCTATGGACGATTATATGTGAAAAATTTGTATACCTTCTCGAGTTCGTCTTGGATCTCCTGCAACTTCTCGATGGAGATCACGAGCTCTCCATCGATTTTATACCTTCTCGAGTTCGTCTTGGATCTCCTGCAACTTCTCGATGGAGATCACGAGCTCTCCATCGATTTGCTCGTTCTCCTCTCCCTCTGCGACCTTGGTGCAACTTCTCGATGGAGATCACGAGCTCTCCATCGATTTGCTCGTTCTCCTCTCCCTCTGCGACCTTGGTCTTCTTCCCTTTGTCAGCCGCCACCATCTTCACCTCAAAAACCCTAACCCTAAGGGCTTGTTTGGATTGAGGGGAATGAGGGTGAAGGAAAGTTAGGGGAACCATTCACCTCCATTCACCTTGTTTGGGAACACTTAGGAGGTGAAGTTAATTCACCCTAGTTCCCCTTGGTTCACCCCCTAATAGTATAAAAATTGTTACCCCCAAATTGGGGTGTAACCAAGGGAAAAGAGAATTCCCTTCCCTTCCCTTCCCTTCCCTTCACTCAGTTTCCCTTAACTTCCCTTCACCCCCTACAAATCCAAACAGGCCCTTGAGAGAGGAAAGAGAGGTTTGATGAGTGAGCTAGTGAGAGACAAAAGGGCTTTAGAAAGGGTTTTAGCTCGGAGAGGGGTAACTTCGGTATTTTAGCTGCCCTCGGTCTCGTCGCCGTTGGGTGCAGATTGGGGTCGAGAGTGGGCCCCGCTGTTCAGTGACCAGCAAGAACATCGTTGAGGGGACTAACCCTAGTGTCAGGTAGCAGCGGTTG